CCCAGGCACCAACAGCACCACCCCTACTACCACCACTACAGCACGCAGATGGACCTCAGGTAATCAATGTGATTTACTCGATGGTCAATGAGAATGAGATTTGAGGGGAGACCTGGAGAGTAAGACACCTGCAGCATACTTATTAGGTCCAGCAGAAAAAGCCCAAAACATATGAATATCAAGGACCGATGATTTCTTTCACTAAGGCAGACTTGGATATGGTGCAGTATCCGCACAATAATGCCCTAGTGGTAACTCTGAATATTGGTGATTGCTAGGTGAGATGCATACTGATTGATCAGGACAGCTCTTGTGACATCATGTATTTCAGATGTTACAAGGAGCTTGGCCTCTACCAAGATGATTTAGAGCAATCTGACAGCCCAATGGTCGGATTTAATGGGACGCTGACATGGCCTCTAGGAGCCACAAGTCTGTAGGTGCAAACAGGGAGCAAAAAGGTAACAACGGAGTTCACTATGATAGATACTCTCTCCCCATACAACATCAATTTGGGACAACCTTGGTTGCATGTAATAAGGGTTGTCCCCTTAATGCTGCACCAACTATTGTGATTCCCAACTGCACAAGGGATTGAAGAAGTAAGGAGAAACCAAGTACAGGCAAAAAATTGCTCATGGAAGCAATAAAGTACACCTGCAATGTAAGAGAAATAGAGAGTGTAGAGATTGAAAGTGAAGAGCATGAGGTCTTGGATGATGTCGGCAAAAAGCCAACTAACAAGAGCGAAGAACCCATGAAAAAGGTTCTTGTGCAAGAAGGTAATGATGAACGATTCTTCCTCCTCGGCTCTGGCTTAGTTGAGGAAGAAGAAAGAGAATTGGAGGCTTTCCTAATAGAGAACGTAGAGGTGTTTGCCTAGACACCTTATGAGATGTCAGGGATCAACCCCGAGGTCACCTGTCACAGACTTAACGTGGACAGGTCGGCAAAACCAGTCGTCCAGAGAGCAAGAAGACCGACATTGATATGTAGGCAGTTGAGGAAGAAGTAGACAAGTTACTAAAGGCACAAGCCATCAGAGAAGTGAATTATCTCACCTGGTTGTCCAATACAGTGTTGGTGAAGAAAAAGAATGAGAAGTGGAGGTTTGCGTGGACTTCACAAGCTTGAACAAGGCTTATCCCAAGGATAGTTTCCCACTGCCCAAGATTGATTAACTGGTAGATGCCACATCGAGGCATGAGAGAATGAGTTTTCTAGATGCATATAAAGGTTATCACCAAATAGCAATGTATGCCCCAGATGAACAAAAGACAGCATTCATCATCCCTAAAAGACTCTATTGCTACAGAGTAATGCCTTTTGGGTTGAAGAATGTAGGAGCTACATACCAGAGACTGGTCACTAAGATGTTCAAACATTTGATTGGGAGGACAGTAGAGGTCTACATAGACGATATGGTTGTTAAAACCAAGGAACCCGGGAACCATCTAGCCGACCTGAAGGCAGTCTTTGACATATTGAGAACATACCATCTTCGACTCAATGCATTGAAGTGCGCATTTAGAGTTAGATCCGGTAAATTCCTAGGATACTTGGTTATCAAGACGGGTTTTAAAGTGAGCCCAGATCAGATTAGGGCCATCCATGACTTGAAGAGCCCGACAACGGCCAAACAAGTCCAGATGTTGACTGGAAGGGCAGTAGCCCTGAATAGGCTCATCAGCCAAAGTTCAGATAATTGCAAACAGTTTGTTGGTTTATTAAAGAAGGTCACAGACTTTCTGTGGACGGAAGAATGCGAAGTCGCCTTGGCCGAGTTGAAGAAGTACCAAACAACCCCACCAGTGTTGTCGAACCCAATACCGGGAGAAAAATTATTCTTGTACCTAGCAATTTCAGACCACGCCATGAATGTCGTGGTAATCTGAGAAGAAGCAGGTGAGCAGAAAGTGTACTATGTGAGCAAGACCTTAGAAAATGTAGAAACCAAGTACCTGCCTCTGGAGAAGTTGAGATTGGCCCTGGTAATGGCCTCGAAAAAGTTAAACCACTACTTTTAAGCCCACAAGATTGTGGTGCTAACTGAACATCCACTAAAGTCCCTATTGCAACATAGAGACCTGACAGGCAGAGTAGCTCGATGGGTTGTAGTTTTAGCGAATTCAGGCCGAGAACAACAATCAAGGGCCAAGTTTTGGCCGATTTTGTGACAGAATTCTCTTCTGGCGCTATCCCAAGGCGGGCACCAATGAGTTGCAGCCTAAGATGTCTGGGAGAGGAAGAAGAAAACTAACTGGGGCCACAAAACCCCACACCGGTAGAACAAAAGAAAGGCTAAAACCTTGCGATATTTACATTGGCGATTCATTTTGCCTCTTTGTCGATGACAGCTTAAACCGACAAGGAGTAGGGGTAGGAGTGGTTTTGGTGACTCTAGATAGGCGAATGATAAAACAATCCATCCGATTAGGGTTCAAAGCCTTAAATAATAAAGTAAATGCGAGGCGCTGATTGTTGGGCTGAAATTGGCAGCGACTGTGGAACCCGATAAGGCAATAGTCTTTCATGACTCCCAGCTCATTGTGAATCAAGCGATGGGTGAATACGCAGCCTGGGATGAGATGATGATAGCCTATATCAAAGAGGTTGTCAAGCTGTTAACATGTTTCCAAAACTGCTGGCTGTAGCAGCTTAGCTGATATGATAACAGCCATGCCGACTCATTGGCTAACGTCGTCAGCGCGTTGAAGTCAGGTAAGGCCAAGACAATAATTGTGGATTACCTATGAGGCCCCAGTATAGAGCCCCTAATAACAGAGTATGAAGCGACGTGCATGGAGATGGGTCCAAGCTAGATGGACGCCATAGTTTTGTTCCTCAGAGATGGCAGGCTGCCAGTAGATAGAAAAGAAGATCATAAGATCAGAATGAAGTCAACCAGGTTCTACTTGTCAACAGAGGGCCATCTGTATAGAAGATCCTTCATTGGACCACTTTTGCGATGTGTGCACCCATCTTAGGTAGAGGATTTTCTATACGAGATCCATAAGGAAGTATGTGGAAGCCATGCTGGGGATAGATCGCTTGCTCACAGGGCCATATCTTAGGGATACAGGTGGTTGTACATGCAGAAGGATGTTGAAGCCTACGTGAGAAAATCCAAAAAATGTCAAAGGTTTGCACATTTGATGCACCACCCAGCTGCAGATCTGAATCCAGTGTCTAGTGCTTGGCCATTCGCCCAGTAGGGCATGGACCTTGTTGGGCAATTGGATAGAGGAAGTTCCTACTGGTAACAACTAACTACTTCACGAAGTGGGTAAAGGCTGAACCCTTATCCAAAATTCGAGATATGAACATAAAGAATTTCATCTGGAAAAACAAAATCACCAGATTCGGAATCCTAAGAGCCATAATAGCAGATAATGGCACTCAATTCAACAGCAAGTTGATCAAAAACTTCTATGTAAAATACAAGATCAAGAACTATTGTTCTACTCCTAACTTCCCCAAAGCAATGGACAAGCAGAGGCATCCAGCAAGACCATCTTAAATGGAATCAAGAAAAGGCTAGAAGCTGCCAAGGGCAAGTGGGTGAAAGAATTGCCTAATGTCCTATAGACATATTATACTACACTGAGAAGATCTACTAAAGAACCTCCTTTCGCCATGGCATATAGCACTGAAGCTGTTATCCTACTAGAGATTGGCATCCCTGGAATCAGAACCTAGGGAGTGGAGAACGAAACAAATGAGGCCTTCATTGCTCGAGATCTTAATCTGATAGAAGAAAGAAGGGAAAATGCAGCAATTCGACTGGGGGCATACCAGAAGTAGCTTACTAAGGTATATAACAAAAAGGTCAACCCTAGAAAGTTTCAGATTAAGGACCTCGTTCTAAGAAAGGTTGTCGGCAATAAAAAAGATCTCAAGGAGGGCAAGCTTGGTCTAAACTGGGAAGGACCGTATCGAATCATCTCAGTCGCCAGCAATGGCACATACCGGCTTGAAGACACTGATGGCAAAGAGTTGTCAAGACCCTAGAACATGAGCAATTTGAAGTTTTTCTACCATTGTTTTCTATTTTTTGAGTTTTTCGCTATGTAAACGTTTATAAGCTGAAGTATTAATAAAGTACTGGCTTGATTTTGTTCATACGAGATATTGTTGAAATTTGTACGATAAGACTGAAAAAAGTCTTAAGACGATGTTCCCATGGTGAACATGACAATTAACTTAGACTTGCCATAATGGTAGAGTTGAACTAAGTCCATGATGTTTCAACATGAAACATGACGATTAACTTAGACTTGCAATCATGGTAAAGTTTAACTAAGTCTGCGATGTTTCGTCATGAAACATAACCATTAACTTAAACTTGCCATGATGGCAGAGTTGAGCTAAGTCTGCGATGTTTCGGCTTGAAACAAGGCGAAACTAGCCATGACTTGGTCAGTTTGAAAGGAAAGTGAGGAGTGTGGTACTCTCGATGCATTAAGGTTAAGCCTTAAGTGCTTCATTTGGGCGAGCCAAACATGATGACCTCGGTCAAGAATGTCTAAATAAGACTTGGGCGATAACCATGTGATATGTCCTTAATGTGGACATAGGTAGTACTTAGGTGCACATTAGGGGGCAAGAAATAAGAATAAGCATAAACCTTGTGAGAATTTTTGGAAAATTTTACAAGTTAAAGTTATTTGAGGTAATTGAATGAATTAACCGACCAAGTTGTTACACTTGGAAGGGTGAAGTCTTGCCAGAAGACAGTTAGTACAAGTGAAGAAACAACACTTGTAAAAATATGATGAGAAATTGTTATAAGTACAATTCGGCCGAGATAATTAACATAAGTTGCTCCGAGATGATAGAACTGTACTATACCCGAAGTATTGTTATCCGAGATATAGGTGTATCCAAGGTCTTAGGATCCGAGGTGAGGAACCAAGTTGACAGGCTAAAAAGACAAGAAAAATTCTAAGTATGGAAAAATATGCAAGGTAGTAAACATAAGACGGAAAGCATTCAAACACTTGTAAGAAAAACAGGAGTTGCATTAATAAAAAACTTGTTCAATTACAAACAGAAGGCACATCGGCCCGACAAATCAAAAGTTGTCAAAAGAAAAAGTACAATGGAAAGAAAAAAAATCCTAAGTATTAGGATCTTGTGCACTGATCTCGGATTGCACAACCTTGGTTTTTGGCGATGCTTCGGTCTAGGCAACAATTTTAGCATCTATCTCTTGAAAAGTCTCATCATGACTTTTCTCTACAACAGCGACCTCGGCCTCAAGCATCATTATTTTCTTCAGCGAGGTGCTCTTGGGAGCCTCATCCCCATATTCCTCAGTCAAGTCTAGGACTTGATCATTCAGGGTGGGGAACTTGGCTCCAGTAACAAACCTCGGCCTCGACTATGTCTTCGGCCTCGAAATCTTCCTCTTCGGCCTCAGCTTTAGAGTTGTCTGGTGAAAGAGGGAAAGGCACCTCAAGTTGAGTAATGTCTCGAAGTGGAGAGTCCTCAAGGACAAATAGCTTCTTGAGCGTTGCCATCCAACCCAAGAAATAGCCTTTATTACAAGCTAGATTCACTTGCTTCTTATATTGGTCGCGCACGTCGGCCTGGCCTTTAGTAGAAGCCTTGTCATCGGCAGCCTTGATTTCGGCTTCCTTGGCCTCCAACGTCTCAGCAAGTTTGGACTTATTTTCAGCAATCTTGGCCTTAACCTCAGCCTTGGCATATTTCGCCTCAGCTGCCTTGGCTTTTTCCTCGACCTCTCTCGTTGCAGCCTCGACTTTGGGTTGAGTGGACTGGGCGGTCGTGGCCTTGTCCATTAGACCCCGATTGTTGGCCTTAGCTTTGTTAAGTGAAGAGAGGAGACCTATAGCTTCTTGGGTTTTCTTTGTAAGGTCCTTCTTCACCAACTCAGCCTTGGCCTCATGACAGTGCACATACTGGATGTTAGAAAAAGTTTCCCAAGTATAAAAGACTGAATTAAAGCTGAATGGAGAGATAAAAGCTAAAGGATTTACCAGAATAGAGTGTCGCATCGTCATTGCAAAGTTTTCATACTGATTGAAGTCGGCCATCTGGTTCATGTCTGTCAAAAGTAAAATTGTTATTGATAGAGCAGCCCCAACCTCAAGGCTCTTAATGGCACTGTCAATAGCCTTCAGAGGTTAGTCTCCCACGATGACCTCAGGGGCCCAGGTGTCCTGAGGGTGGAAGCCACTATCACTATCCTGGTCCTGAGATCTCGACTTCTTCGCGGGGGGCGCATCAGTAGATTCGGCTTCAATCGGCCTCTTCTCGGCGTTGGGACTAAGTCCTCTAGATCCTTCTCAGAATTAGAAGAGATCTTAGTGATAGTGGCCTTGACCTCGAGTTTTTTCACCCATTTTGGTTTTGGTTTAGGCTTTTTCTAGGGTTGAGAGGATGGCGTGGACTGTAGAGACACAACATCGGGCAAACCAGCCAATAAGTCCTCGGCAATTTCCGATTTGTGAACTAACTCCTCGGCGGTCACAGCAACAGTCACTTTGGTGTTGAAGTTGATGGCAGGTAGAGCAATGAGAGGATTGGTGGGGTGGCAAGCTGATGCCTCTGAATCTCAGCGCCTACAGTTTTGAGTCTGACCAGCATGAGCATTTGGAGGTCGACGTTGGTGTTGGTGTTGGCATTGGCATTGGCATTGGGATAGTGGAATAAGTTGGGCTGCTGCAGAAGTTGAAGGTTGCTCAACAGGGTCAAAATTTGATGCTTGATCTGGCCTTGCGCAAGAGGAAACTAGTGGAGTTGAGGCAGAGGCAGTAGTCCTGCTCCTTCTGGAGATGTCGAGAAGAGGGGACTGGTAAGTTGGTATGAAGTTCAACAGAAGCAAAGCCCATCGCTTGAGGATCGGAAGGTCCAAAATGTAACACCCTGCAAATTAGCCCTGTTATTCACATTGGTAACATGATCATAAAATCCCAAAATGGGTCATCTTTCCCATTGAAGTGAGACTTGAGTAATCACAATTTAAATATAACATTCCCACAATGTTCGAGGTCCTGTTCTAGTTCAATAATCTAGATGGCTCAACAAAACATGAGTCCTCAGGGCGTACATTTTACAAAATTACATACAAAAGTTCCATTACAAATTCCTCAAAAACACACATAGACAACAAGATACTCTTAACATCAATTAACTCCCCAAAAGAAGCTAGAGCTAGCATTTGAACCAGTTCTTCATCGAGGTTGACCTTCCTCAATTCCTAAAAAATAAGTTAGGGTTCAGCTATATGCCCAGTAGGAATATATTTATCCAGGTATCTAATTCCTTGAACAAAAGTATAGCATCCATGTGAAATAACAACATAAACAAAGGTGTTTCGCAATTGGGCATATATATATAAGCCATATCTCACAAGAACCTTTACAATCTAATTCAGATAAATTTAAATAAGGGTATCTAGTTAAATAAGGAAACATTCATAACTAAGAAATCAATTCACATGCATTCAATCACATGAACCCAATTGAGAACAACCATTTCTTTTTATAAACAACCCCCACATTCGCCTACTATACGGCGGGGAGTGGGCACCCAAGAAAACTATCCGTTTTTCCACTTTAAAGAGTTTTTACAGCCCGCAATGCACGTCGTAAAAACCCTTTTACGACGTGCAGTGCGCACATATTATGACCAGTTATGAAAAGTCATTTATTTTCAACGCCATGCTTCGTACGCGTTAAAAACTATTTAACGGCAGATTTTGTGCGTCGTTGTTACATTATCTACGACATGCTATAGTACGCCGTTAAAAACTATTTAACAGCAGATTTTGTGTCATTGTTATTTTTTCTACGACTACTTTTGCACGCCGTTAATTGGTGAGACAAATAACGACGCTGATTGAATACTGTAAAATATGTAATACAACGACTTACTCAGCATGTTGTAGAATGTGCACTTTTTTTTTCAATTCAACAAATTCTATTTTGACCTATTTTGTACAATCTAACAAACATTACAAACCAACTTCACAAAATATCAATCAACCACCAAAATATTGTTTCAAGCATAAAAAATAAACTACATCGGTAAATTATGAATATTCAAAAATTGTCAATACATTCCAAACATCTAAAAACCAACCGTAAGTTCAAAATCATCCGAAAAGTTATAAACCATCCAAAACTGTATCATATATAAGTTCGTTCATACTATATCATCCCCATGAAATGCTGCAATGATTTTTAATTGTGTACGGTACTGCACTACATGCTAGGTATGTATGACCTAGAAAAGTTATAAGGAGTACTCATAATGTAGTATTAAAAGGTACTCATATTGTTAAATAAACCATACATTCCAAATTTCAACCTGACATGGAATAAAGTTCTATCTAATAATGAATACATGAAGCCTCAAAAAGGACCCCAGGAGAAAGATGGAAATTAGCCATACCCAAGAAAACCATTTGTACAAAGTCACCAAATTCCCTTAGAAGTTAAGATTGGTAATTCACTCAAGACTCAACAAATCATTTCATGGATTCACTTTTCGATATTGGCCAAATATTTTCATAAGCACACTTAGCTCTTGGCTATCACTAGTCTCCAAATTTAAAGATTTTGAGCAACATAAAAATTTTGACATTCCCCGTGTGAAAACCTCAACCAACATTTTTATGTTAAACAAAATGCTCAAAAAAAAAAAATAAAAATTTAACAACTATATCTGGCTATAATTATATAAATAACACACAAGAACCACCCATGAAAATTACCATATTGGACCAGATGAGGTCACCAATCGCCATCAGATAAACACTAATTAAACTGCTACCAACTTCAGCTGTAATAACTACAATTACTCACAGAATTCAAACGAAACGAGAATTGTGAGTGTAAATAAGGAATTCCCATCTATAACAACCAAATTCCCACAACATCCCAGTTACAGAAGTCAGCAAAATTAGAATCTTTTTATCTATTCATCACTTTCACTTCGCTGATTGTTAACATGATTAAGAAATTGAAGTTGGTAACCCAAACACGGAGGTCCTATTTGGTAACGTTTAGGTTAGTGTCAGATGATGGATCTGAAATCATTTAACAGTTGATGGCTTAGTATATGCTAGTGTCAGGTGCTACACAATTAGCAACCAAATTCTACAATTTTGGGCTCCAGTGGATAGGTTAGCTAATTTTTGAACCCTCTTTCTTTTCCCTCTCTTCTCGGTTTTGCTAAAAAATTTAGGGCACTTGCCAAAAATATATAAGATCCAGAAAAGAAGTCCAAACACCAAAATGGTTCAACATTGCAGAATAGTATATTTCAATTATAATCAAAAAGTAATTTCAAAATAATTAACCTCTTGAGCTTGCCGACGCCTCGGTTCCCTATAACAAGGCAACTAAGAGGGATATTATCAATTGCTTCACATATCTTCCCCGAAGCATCTCCCCAGTAGATCTTCAAAAGCACCATAATCTGTTCACAAATGCAACACAAATTCAGTTTATTTCGATGTAGAACTTCAAAAAACAATTAGAGAAATTTCAAAGTCAATGGTTTAAACTTTAAAGGGACGAAGATTGCACCTCTTTTTGCCTAGCAGCAGAATTAGCAATGTCTTGGAAAGTGCCTGAGCATTGTGGACTAGAATCAAAGACAGTAAAGGAGAGGAACAAAAAGCTTAGAAAAATAAATGATTGTCAAACGAGTTCATGTTTGTACCTCATTCCCTGTGTAATGTGATGGCCAGTCACATTACCACAGTATTTCAAAACAAAATACTAGCATTTTGCCTTTGATTTCAAGACTTAAAAGAGTGCTATTGATATATTTCATGCATAAGTAATTTTGCACACACAAATTAAGTCCATATAACATTCAAGATTCAATGGAATATTTATTACTCCAATTCTCAGCAACCAAACAGAGAAGAACCCCACATTGACTATTTGCTTCATTTTCTCAGCAAAAAAAAAAAAAGCCTTTATGCAATTTCTAGGGAAACAAACAAAAAATTGGAGTGAAACCCTTGAAGATTTTCTGCAAGAAGTTGTTAGCTTTTCATATTAACTCTTGAACATAGAACAGTTTAAAAGAGATTAGAAAAACACACCCAATTCCCAATAAAATACACCCAATCGAAGAATGAACAAAAAAAGTAGATACCGTTGCCGTCAGGGCATGTGAGAATTCGTGCTGGTTCAACTTTCGCAGATTCAACTTTCGCAGAAAGTTTCATCAAGCTTCCAGCAGATTTTATGATTGCAGTGCCTCAGCTCTTTTAGCAAAAAGAAAGTTTTCAACTATAAACTAGCACATAGAAATCCATCCTTAATTCTTCTTATACTCCTAGTAGTTATTATATCATCAAAGGCAGTTCCATCTAATCACTTAAACTTTGACTATTACTTATGACTTGTAATACTTAATTGCTCATTATATCTTCTTAGCATTTTCTACCACATTATCATACAGAAATTGAACAGAAAATTGTCTAAAAGTAGATATCCAGGTACAAATTCATCCACCTATTTCTCCATCCAGATGCAATATAAAATTTAACAAATAGGAATAATATATATGTTTAACTTTTGACATCTAACATAGTTTTTAGTGTAAATTGCAAAAATTGACAGAAACTAATTACCATGTTTGTCCTGAACAAAAGTAAGGCAATTTATCAATGATGACAAACTAATTACCATGTTGGTATCAAATTCGCTGCTATGAACAACCAATAATGTGCTATTCTTGTAGAATTAATATTTACTTAAATTTATTTATTTGGTCAAAACTCTTTCGTTGTTCGGCATTATATGAGTCATTTCGATTTTTCATGCTTTAATAGTGTTGTGATTTCTATCTTTCTAAAAAAAAATATCACATTTTAATCCAAAATATAAAGCTTCAATACCCTAAATCTTTAGAAAGATAGAAATCACAACACTATTAATGCATGAAAAATCAAAAAGACTCATATACTGCCGAACACCAGAAGAGTTCTGAACAAATAAATAAATTTAAGTAAATATTAATTCTACAAGAATGGCACATTATTTTTTACAATACAGAATACTTAATTCCTCTCTTCAAATATTTACAAATCACAAAATAAAAAAACAAAGAATACCACTGTATCAAATATAGACTATCAAGGATTTAAAAACAGTACTTCGGCATAAAATCACACTTATATTGCTCCTACCTTTACTGTGATATGACTTGATCAATTCCAGTTTCATGTCAGAACATCAATCTTCTATATATAAACATTTAAAGGGTAAATTTCAACACTGCATTTTGTTAGAACAGTGAACTTATATTTTACCCATTAGTCACTCTTCTTATCCTCTGGTACAACCAGAGTAAACAAAGAAGAAAAGTGGCGAAGAAAGAAGCAAATTAGGAATCTTACATGGGGCTTGCTTGAGACCACCTGCAGTCAAATTTTTGCTAAAATCAAGTCTGCTACCAGTTCAATTTTATTTATGTGTTCTTTGTTTTTGTAGACAATAGTATTCTTTTAGTTTCAAATTTTATAGACATGGAGTGTAGTGGTGATCCATGAATATCATTTTTGTCTAGTTATCAACTGGTTCCACAATATATATGGGCTTAAAATTACCATATCATTCATTTCACAGATCTTATGGCGAGGGAAGCTGGTACAGTAAGTAGTAAATGTACTATTGAGCGAAGACGTACAGTAAACTTGTTCAGCAAACTAATATAATCTTGTCATTATATTACTAAACAGAAAGCTACTAATTAGTTTGAATCTACACCAATATTTTCAATAATCATACCTACCAACAAAGCATTTTAACTGTCACATTTCAAAGAAGTAAAGTTGCAAATCAAAACACAGACCCAAATCAGAAATTCAATTAATTATAATCATTTAAACATCTTACCTCTTTTAGTTCCGGCATTCCATTAAACGGTTGGTATGTCGCAATTCCATTAATACTCAAACCCCCACTTCCTCCTCTTCCAAGTATAGAAATTTCCTGCCCCCCACCCCACCCCTGGAACACAAATTGATTCAAATATGTAGAAAATATTGGCCCAATCACCTGATTAACAGTGTCTTTAAGTCTAACATTGGTATTCTTAAGCACACTAGATGTTGCCGCAACTCGTGCCCTTCTTCCTTGGATCAAAGCTGAAGCCTAACTAGAGAGCATATCATACTGAGTCTGCAGTTGCCTAAGCTGTCTCTGCAATTCCAAAGCCTCAGCTTTGTATGTTAAAGTAGCATCCTTAGTTAAAGTTAATCCATCAATAGCAGAAGCAAAGAATAGCAATATATCATCATCACTTGCTTCAAAAGTACCAATATAGAAATATCATACACAAATTAGCAAAATGTTTTGAACTCAGCATATCAAAGGAAATTTAGAGGCACTAGAATGTTTGAGTGATAAAAAAAATCCTATGCTTAAGATATAATCTTAATTAAGATTTACATATTTAACAAATGATAGATTAAAACGCATATGATGAAGATCTCAATCCAAGCCAAATAAACTTTCAAGAATGTTAATTATTTTCTTAGGTTGTCATTAAAGAAAATGTAATAAGTTTCCATCCATAAGTAAATAGGTAATTTTACCTGAAAGAATCCTATGTATTACATTGAAGGTAAATTCATTGCTAACATCAAGTGGCTGCTAGCAATCATTTGACGGCTATAATGAAGTTAGGAGCCAGTTCCTGGATCCTCCCCCACCCAATGACACCTCTTCCCCTACTCCCTTCTCTTACCAACCAAAGCCTATAATGAGGTTAGGAGCCAATTCCTGGTCTCTGGTACAACTACCAAGAGACATTGCCAGCATTCATTGTGTGCGCTAAGAGTCAAGTACTCCTCTAAGTTAAAGTTAACTAAAACCTTAAAGAGCAATTGCAAGTTTACAATTTGATGTAGAATGAGTGAGATACACTGGCTGAATTTGATTGGCATTTGTGGCTGAGAACACAAGGTTGTAGTGGCTGTTTGAGGGTGGTTATGGGCACTGTGATCAGTACCCATGAACAGTGACCTTGTGCCCATTTGTGCTACATGCATAGAACAAAATTTTTGCACAGAACAGAAGAGAGACAAAGTGTAGGATCCACATGTGGGCCCACTCTTCGTGTCTCTTCTATGAAAAATTCTGTGCATTTATCCTTTCTCCATTGTGCCTTTGTGATCTTTTGTAAGTTGGGGTACTAGGGTTGAGGAACTATGATGCTTAAAAGTTGAATCAAGGACAAAAAAAATATGTTTTGGGAGATGTATTGAACAACTATTGAGCAGTGATCAGCTTTTGTATTAATAGGTAGCCAGATTCTTGTGTCTAAGAAATTATGCTGTTAACATTCCACATTTAGCCTCTCACACTCCCCTCGTGAAAGGCTAAAAGACAAAAATTGAAGTGTGAGAAGTTTAAAGTAGAGTGAATATCAATTCTCAAAAATTATCCTCAAGGCATATGGACAAATCTACATTCTCTCAAGCAATTCTAGACATGTTGCACATATCCTATAAAGAATGAACTTACTACATCTAGTTGCTCTAGATTACGTGCCACATAGCTAAGTATGTGATGATGTCCAAAAAAATGTCAATAGCAGACCAAGAGGGCTAATGGAATGACCACAAAAAAATGACAATTATTGTTAGGTCTTAATATTAATGGCACACATGGAATGCCCTTCAAAAGCAATACCTATACACAAATAACATTGTGAAACTTATGAAAGAAAAAAAAAACAGAAGCCATGAGAAGAAAAAAATGGATTTAACAATAAAGCAAATGCAGGGAGTGACGGATACGTTGTCAGCATATAAATCAGGCATCATCATAACCCATTAAAACAATATAGGATGTGCCTATAATAATCAAGATAAGGCACAGGCATTTATTTTCAATCACAAAAAGGAGGAAAATAAGCATATTGACCGCCCAAAGAGCCTTTCAATTGTTTGAAACTACTTCTCTGATGACAAAAGTGTTCTCTCATGCTGATAAGACTAGTAACATAAGATTTAAGTGATTCAAAATCTTGCTTCACGCAACAAAACTCCTGTTCATTTGCTGCTGCTTGTTGCCTCTGTCTAGATGGGGGAGGGGGGTGGGAGTAATTTTGTAGTGTGAACCGTGATCTATAGTTAGTTAGTATCTAAAAACATTCCTTCATTACTTCGTAGTACAAGTTCTGTCCAACGATAAGCACATATGCATATGCATATGCATATGCTACCAACTGGGTGCACGCAAAAATCTACTATTTCGATTCCCAAGTGTCTTCATTTGTCATATATTGGTGCCTCCAAAGTGTTCATATTACCTATGTTGGTCATGTATGATAGTTTCAGTAAGTTTTAGCTGGATACTGAAAATTAGAACTGAGATAAGTACTTAAATATTATAGATATGTGATTTGTGACTTAAGCTCATTTAACATATCTAAGGTTCAAATCTCCTAGTGTCACAATTCTACAGACATATTGGTTGTCAATAGGCTTTGTTTGTGTGTAACTGTGTTATAGACTTATAGTAAGTGCTTAAATTCTTAGTATCAAATTGCTTGTACATTAATACATTCGTAGATGCTATGTTTGTAGTGTTGAGTTCTAGTCTCACTTGAGTGACAAATTCTTATTCCAATTATGGATAACTCCCTTTTCTTGGTTTCTTGCTAGTTGATTTATGGGTTGTTGAGATAAGATCACACCTTATCCCGTGTTATCTTCTAGACAGTACCGCTGCTGCTGCCTGCTTACTGAAGCTTGCTGTCTGCTGGGGCTGTTTGCCTGCTGTTGCTTGCCATTTTGCTGGTGCTTAATCATCTGATGTTGCCTGCTGTCTAGGAGGCTGTGGTGGTTATTTTACAGTCTGAATTTTTATTTATTAGTATAGTTGTGATAAGCTCTAGTGGTTAATTTTTTGTAATCCCAGAACCTAATTTTGGATTTCTATGTAGAATGTACATGGCCTTAATTATGGTAGTAGACCTTGTTTTTGAGTTATATTTTCGATATTGTTTTATGGTCCAGTAGCTTCTAGGTCTATCCTAATGTGTAGCTCAGTATTGATCTTGTTCCTGCCCCTCATCTGCTCTTGTGCTCATGTGGTGTTTGAACAGGTTGTTTTGCCTTGTTGTGTTTTTGGTTTTGTTGGTGGCTGTGTCTTTGTATAGTTGTTTAGCTCCTGAGGCATGCCTCTTGTATCTTGTATATATTTGTCTTTTATTTTATGACTTATTCACCAAAAATAAAAATAAAAAGACAATCGACCTCCTAGCATATAGCGATGCTAAATAAATATTAACGCAACTAATAAGGCCCAGATCGAATAACAAGAATCGAATCTACGAAAGGGATTTAGAAAGATCAAAATGCTTCCATAAATTAACCTCCTTGACTACCATATAAAAGTGAAACCTTATTTTGAGGCATGTAATTCTTTTTTATCAAGGCTTCAATCAAGAGTTCAAAAACTTAAAAAATTTATGAAGAGATCAAGTATGCCATATCTGGAAAAAGTCGCTAAAATAAACCAGCAAGTTTTGTTATCATTTTATTTTGTGCATGATAAATATTAGAAAATCTGTAAAACAAACTTTACCATTTGGAGATCATGACTCCCTGAAGAGCTCTCAACAAGATTGGGACATGCACGAACATCATCAACAATAGGCCTTTCAAACCAGGGAATCATCAAATGTGTTCCTTCAGGATAAACCTAGACACATTTTATGTTAGTACAAGCACAAAATGACCCTGTTTGTCAGACTGAATTTAGATAGAATGCAAGTAAACAGAGATACTGATTTTATATCACTGAATAAGTAACCCAAAAAATATAATTCATGCAAAAAAATGAAAACAGTTACTAGGATTAATGAAAAAAGGGTCTCATACTGACTTAATATTGTCCCCATCAATCTGAAATGAATCAGGCTTCAATCCAAGTTTCATAAACTTCATTTTAATTACTAAAGATCTGTTTTCACCTCTAAGATCTCAACACCCAACTTCAACCAACTCACCACTTCCACTACCACGGCCGCAAATCGAAACTTAAGAACAAAATTGAACAATAAAACATGTTTTCAAAATTGAACAAAATTAAAACTTAGCTAATTTATGACTTCAAGAAGAAAGAAAGTAAATGAACAATAAAACATTTGCATGGAAGAACTATATAGTTTCAAGGAATGCTAATCTAGTCCCAAAGAAGTAAGAGAAATTTAACTTGATCAAGAGGAATAACTAGTTTGCCTATTTTGCCTCACTAGGATTATCAACAAAATTGGAATTGATGACAAACATGGTTAATGTTAAGCACTTGAAATCAGCTTCAATAACATCAAAGGCCTAGTCAATTTGTTCTGAAAAAATTAAATCAATTTGTCTTAGAGTAATATCATTGAACACCTTGTGTACAGTCCTATCTTATTGGTTTGATTTTTTTTCCCCACTCAATCGATAGGAGGGGAAAAGAAAAGGCTAAGTTGCATCAAATGGTGAGATGAGAATTCAAGCATTACTCACACTAAATTAGCAGCTTGTCTACCAAACCAACCCTCTTTGGTCTCAATAATATGACACACTGGTCCCTTTTAGGTATCAGTTCCAATAATAAGACAAATTGCCTCTACTTTAGAACACCATTTCAGTGAATGGTCTCAGCAATTAAAGCACTAACACAACACAAATAGCTTCAAACAAATGCACACACAAGTAATAAAATTCATAGCTGCTTTAAACTATATGAACTAAAAGATAGAGATAAAGGAGTCACAAAGCATAAAATGAATTCCTGAGCTAACCCATTAAGTTGAAACCAAAAAAAGGAATATACCTCAACTCCTTTATAGTTGAACCCTCACCAAGTTTCACTGTATCATCCTCTTCCTTATCTTCATAATCAACACCTTTATGAATTTCTCATTCTTATCTACCTTCTCAACCTAAATTCAAATTAATACCAACACTCAAATCAATTTCAAACAAAGAGTCACATTCTAAGTTGCTATATCATTCAAATTCAAGAAAATCTGCAAAAAGTAGAGAGCTTTACAGCTGTGTACAAAAGCTTCTTTCGTCTAGGGGAGAAGGCTGGGGATGAATCTGAACAATCATCTGCAAATTTCAAAAATACAAATGTCTGAGACATACATATATGAGAGAGAGGATAGACCGTCGAGGCAGACAACATCGAAGGGTTGAAAACGGTGGTAATCGAAGAGAGGTTCGAGTTGTTCTTCAGTTGATTCGGCCTGTAAAACAGAGAAATCAAAAATCAAGTTTAGAAACCCTAGAAAAAAAAAACAAAACAAAACAAAACAAAAACAGTACTTGGAAGATTAGGGGGCTAGAACTTGAAGTTTCGCACCATTAGGGTAGAAGAAATTGGGGCCAAAGTCGCAGTAATCGTCGAGGGAGAAGCAGAGGTCGGGGTTGGGATCATGTAGGGTTTGAAGTGGTTCTGATTGAAGAGTTGTTGGGAGGGTTTGAGAGTGCTGGGTAGCGCAGTGATTGGAGTAGGAGTGGGTCGAGGTTGAGAAGGAGGGTAGCGCAGTGATTGGGGTAGCACAGTGTGTACCAGGTAACCCTTCTTCGTGAGACGATTCAGAGAGATGAGCTCCCTTCGAACCCTTCTCCCTTTTAATGAAACCTCCTAGGTTTATTTTGATTAGAAGCCAAAGACTTGGATTGTGCATTTTGACAGATTGACAGCATGCCTTGTGCGTGTGTTTTGAGAGAGAGAGAGAGAGAGGGAGAGGAGAAGGAAAACAGATAGACAAAATGTGGAAAATAATTTCTAACATTTTTTTTTTTTTTTTTTTTTGAGTGATTGGCGCCCAAATTTCATTTTGGCACTTTGTTGGTTTTATCATACAATTCATGACATGTATTGTGCTACGTAAAAAGACTATTTTTTTTGGGTGATTGGCACCCAAATTTCATTTTGGCGCTTTGTTGGTTTTATCATACAATTCATGACCTATATTGTGCAATGTAAAAAGATAACATTTTTAACGACAGACAATGTGTACGTCGTAGAAAGTCCAATACTTTTAACGGTGAATATTGTGTTCGCCGTCAAAAGTATTCACTTTTCACGGCTAGCATATGTGCGTCGTGTATAATTGATGTATTAACGGCATGCCATATGCATGTCGTAGAAAGTTTTATTATTTACGGCGTGCACTGCAAGCCATAAAAAAAATCATCTTTATTATCATTCACGGCCTACGCAATAGACACGTCGTGGTTGGAAAAGTATTTACGACGTGCAAAAAAAACAAGTTGTAAAAGTGAGAAACTACAGCGTGCATTTATTGTATACCGTTGATGTGGTGTCGTAAAAAATCAGTTTTGTTGTAGTGTGTTATATTTTCATTCATCAGAGCTAATATTACAAAAGATATCACATGCATTACACTTTCATAAATATTCATCTTCAAACCATAGCATGTAACTCTAGTTTAGAATAACAAAATAAATGCCCTAAGGGCTTACGTCTTTCCAAGTAATCACTTTGTTACAACAAAAGAGAGAGTCAGAAGCTCTTTGCAATTAAAGCCCTCGGCTTAAAAGAAGACATATAAACACAAAAAATGAAATCACAAAAGTTGAGCCTTTAGCCTCTAAGCCTCCAAAGCTATATCCTTAAAGGTGGCATATCACATGTACTTGAAAATAGTTTCACAAGTAGGGTGAGCCAAAACCCAGTAGAGATATGCTAAATCATACATCAGAATTAACTAAAATATGAGCATTAGATAAATGTACAACATTCTTAATCAACACATATTCTTTTCAAGGTCATTCAATATAGATAACCAATATCTCAATTCATTTCCACTCTACCATTTCGGGTAAATCAATTAGCTAAATTCATTATTATCAAGCAACCAACATGAGACTACAACTCAATGGTTCACAATTCAATACATTCATCAAATCCAACAATTCTATTTCTTGCCATTTTATGGAACCACGTCTGAGAGAACCGGCACCCATAAATATATAAATTTGGGGACTTTCACCCTAGACACTCCGGCCAACTTAATTATCAATGGAGTCCATCCCCTATCTCCTCTCAAACAATGGAATACATCACCTATCTCCTCCCAAACAAAGATACATATACAATATATTTAAACACTTTGTCATATATAAGGACTAATCAAAACACATATTCAATGGTTTAATCAAACCGTCATATTCAATGACATAATTCAATTGATTAGTTTCAATCATCCTAATTCTCATGCAGTTTCTACAACAATCATAGCTATCCTCCACCGATAGCCCAAAACAGATATATCTAAACAGATAAACAAATCTATCAACAAATAATTTATCAAATTCCATAGGTGTGTGATTTATCAAACCAAACTATACCATTCAATCACAATTCCCCCAATTTCATAATTTCCAAACCAATTTCATTATTTACATAAATAATTATTTCAACTCAACTTAGGGCAAAATTTTCCCTTTTTCCAAAATATCAACCCATAGGTCCAAATCTCACCACTTCAACAATAAAGAACCTCATACACAAACCCCCAAGATTACTTTATAAATTAACATGAAAAACCCCTTTTAGTTTAGAACCCAAACCTTAACTTTTACCAAAATCTTCCCAAATCCTACCATTTATACAAAATGACAAATATCTAGGTTAAAACTCATATTAACAAGTAGAATATCCCTATATCAAGCTTAGATGAGAGAGAAGAGAGAAAGCTCAAAAGTCGATGGCGAGGAAACCACGTTTTGCCCCAATCAAAACGAAACCCTTGACAAGTTCTACACTTTATCTCAAAGGAGTAATGTGAAAAGATCACTCTAAGTGAGTAGATCTAAAGATTTAAGTGAAAAAGTTGAGTTTTAAAGAGAGAAGAGAGGAATCACGGTTAAAGAGGAAAAATGGAAGGAAAATCATGAGTGAAAAAATGGTTTGGGCTTGTTTATAATAGTGAGGAAAAGCCCTAAGGTCAAATAAAATAACAGGCCCAAAAACTCCTTTAGATAGGGCCCATTTGGACCTCAAAAATCTGAAAAAAAACACGCAGGGGTCAACCCTTAGACAGAAGGGGGTGGGCCCTATCTTCCAGCAACCAACACATAAACATAAGAGAGTCAACCCTCTCTCAGTCTGGTGTTTACCCTATCTTCCAGCAACTAACACACAAACATAAGAGGGTCGACCCTCTCCCAGTCTGGTGTCTACTCTATCTTCTAGCAACTGACACACAGACGTAAGAGGGTCGACCCTATCCAGTCTGGTGTCTACCCAATTTTCCAGCAACACTGCCAGAAACTTCACTAATAGGTAAGGGTCGACCCTTAGGAAGGTTGGTGTCGACCCTAAAATAGAATTTCTAAGTCTCCAAAGAACTTTTGACAAGAATAAGTGCGAACAACCAAACCCAACAAGTTTAAATCGGATTGTACTCGTTCAAAACCAACCCATAACAACACCAAAGATTTTCAAAATAAAAAATAAAGGATGTGAATACATCTTCCCATAAGTTTTGAAGGATACAGGTGCTACAACCTCACCTCCTTAGGAAATTTCGTCCCCGAAATTTTAGTACAAGTCTCAAAACCATGATTGCCCATTTTTCAAATGATTACAATTCAATTCACAACCTCATGACCCACCTACCGGCCATTCAATCTCTTCACAAGAGAACAAATCTACAATAGATATATCTCAACATATATTATCAATATGAATATTTCGAATTTAACCAATTTCAATACGTGCATCTCATATTTCCAAAACATATTCAATGTTTATGATAAATTTGCATTTCCAAGAGTTAAACAACATATACAATGTTCAAATTAAACTTGCGTTTCCGAAACATATTCAATATTCACAATGCTTTCATAATCCAAAACATATACAATGTTTCCAAACTTGATACAACACATACAATATTCTATATTCCCATAACATATACAATGCTCATATTGAATCCATGTTTTCAAGACACCGACAACATATACAATGTTTTAACATTTCATTAACAAACTAAAATCTCGACATATGTTCAAATACCAACGAATAAGTCTAAATATTTCTCACGAACGTCCAATTCATGCTCCCAAGTTACTTCCTTAATCCCGAGATGTTTCCATGATACCTTTACTAATAGAAACGTCTTGCTTCACAAGACTCGACTCAACAACAAGGAACAAAGGTAACCAGATCTCTGAGCTTCGAAGAAGAGAATGCTCTTGGTGAGAGCTTGTCCATGGTCATGGCCAGCCAAAGCTAGAGGAAGAAGACCAAGAAACAGAAACAGAGGAGCCATGGAACAGAGTCTCACAAACCTCTGCATTGTAAGTAACAATAGAGGGCATGTTTGATTGGAAGGATTAAAGTATAGGATTGAGATTATTAATCCATATGCCCAATAATCCTATATTTGTTTTGACATTTTAATTTAGGATTATTAGTAATAGGATATGTGTGGATAGTCAATACCACACTAATTTGATAGGATTATTAATACCTCACTATTAATCTTATGAATCAAACATGGATAGAGGGTATATTAACAAACCTAGAAGAGTACACAGAGATGTTCTGTATAGAGGGTGTATATGTGTATTTATATGAACAAATTGGCAATGTCGGTCAGATTTATCAGCTAAAAGTCCTGATAAAACCACCAAAAACAGAGTGACCCTCAAAGAGAGAGAGAGAGATTGTGGGAGGGAAGGGGAAGAGCTAAAGGCCCTATAAATGGAGTTTGGGAGGGAAGATGCCAATTGCACAGAAAATTGGCAGAGATTAATAAATGTGATGATATACCCCATACCAGAGATTAATAAATGTGAGTTTTTATTTTTGTTGTTATTCAATAATTGTAATAAATTTGTGTGTATTTTATTGCTATTTTAGGGGTTGTACACGGTTGAGAAAGAGCAGAGTCATGTGGGTTTGTTCGTCTCTGTAATGGGAAGGGTCGGTGTTCGGACTGTATTGGGTCTATTGTTATGTATAGTAAAAAAAATGCCGCATTTATTATTTTATTTTTCGACACAATATTAGCATAATAAATTTTAGCACTCAATGAGTATAAGTGTATAGATGATTAAATATAAAATAGGACATAGATGTCTCACAGCTGGTAGATCTCATTTTCTGTTTAATCTTTGTTTCCTAATATTATTGATATTTTTAATGAAGTATTTATAATTAAATTGACATATCAAATAATAAAATAAAATGACAGAAATTGATGGAGATTTTAACATTATTTTAAGTAATAATGTAATAAATTACTGCAAATCATCAGGAAAAAAGATCAGTTAAATTACAAGTGAATCAAACCTCAACTAGTCTTTGACTATTTAATTGATTACTATAGTGGATAGTAACACTTGGCAATTAAATTGGAGTTTTTGGGGTATGATAGTTACTAAAACAAGAAAGGGGGAAATGAGGAGTGGAAAGATACGTCACACCTTCTATTGATGGATTTGCTAGAATAGACATTGGTTGATGTTAGACACCAATTGGGGTGATATTTGATGAATAATAGGTGGGTAAAGACATTTGGTGTTCTAATAACATCGAATAATCTCTAACCAATAATTTAAAAAAAAAAAAAATTTGTGCTAATTGAAAATATAACTATTTTTCTCTTATTCAAAAATGAAAAAAAAAAAAATGTAAATCTTGGAGCACAACGATGTAACACGTTCTATCACTGAGCTAATAGCTAATCGTGTGAATTTTTCAATGAAAGCTTGTTA